GGGGGGCGGGGTCGCGGCGGCGGCGCGGCCGCCATCTTGGAGACAGGCGAAAGGAAAGGCAGGCGCGGCTCCGGGATCGCGCATCCCTGCTTCGCAGGCCGAGAGCAGCGTGAGCTGTTTGTGCCTCTGCAGGCTCGAAGGGGGAAACTCCCGAAGTTCGGTTATTCATTCGTAGTGCGAGGCCTTGCACAGGTCAGAGGCCGTAACAACCCAGAAGCACAAGGCCAAAGAGACCTCAAAGTTATCTCTGGGCACAGAGGGTAAAGCAGGCTGGTGTCTGCCCATCACCTCCTCCTTCCTCTTGGGGGTTTTTTTTCCTTTCTTTTGTTTTCTTTTCTCTTCTGTGTGTGTGTGTGTGTGTGTGTGTGTCTGGTTGAAACCCTATGTAGTGACTTTCCCTCAGCTGGATGAAGTCTTACCCCACTAAGGGAGGTGTGCATTAGATAAGGGGAGCTTTGAAAGATCCCCCAAGCTCCCTTTGCTGTCATCTCATCGTAGAGGGACTCATTCCTAATTGAGAGGCAAGCTCATAACTGAAAACATACCCTGGCCTGTGTCTGTCTAGGAGCTGGAAACAGCCAAGAAGCTCTGGCGAGTTTCCGGCAGAACATGTCAGGACACCCTCAGAATGAAGACGTGGCATCCACACATGAAGGAGCAAGTCAAGAGTAAATACTGAATGAGGAAATTCGGAAAATATCCAAGTTCTGTAATGAAACAGCACGTTTCCAGTCAGCACTTTTCCCCTAGGCCTGGAATATATCTGCGAAAACCCCAGTCTCATCAGCTGAAAATAGGTCGTGTTAACAGAAGAATGAACAGTCTTAGACAGTGGGAAGCTGAAGAACTGAACTCAGACCTCAAGCCCTCCTTAGAGGAAAAGGAGGTATCTCGTATTTGTCATCGTGAACTGATTATAGTCCACTTTCTGTATCAAGGGATCAAGGTTTGTTGAATTCTCGGATGCAGAACCTGCAGGTATAGAGGGCGGGATACCGAGGGCCCACTGTACTAGGCTATTTTATATAAGGAACTTGAGCATCCTCAGAAATCCGTAGGGACCTACAACCAATTTTCCCCCAACTGATAAAGGGTAGGAGATGACTATAATTGGCATACTGTGTTATACATCTGGCTCTTGTGAGTTTGAGTGAGCTGAGAAAACAGTTTCAAATCCAGGGCATTATCACCACTTCTTTCATTCATTCTTTAGCAGAGAGGGCTGCCAAGTCCCTGGTACTGAGTGGAGGAATCCATTATTTTAGCTTCAGGGCCAGTAGTGTGCAAATTAAATGCATGTCATGAACATATCTGCTTTTAAGTCAATAATTTCAGATTTGCTTTTTACGAAATTGCAGCTGGATACAAATTCAGCGGTGGCTAGGAACACTTCAGCTTTTGGTTTCTTCCTCTGTATTTAGTGATTTGTAAACAGTTGCTCCGATTTTACTTTTAGAGACACTGTGATCTTCCTGAAATGTAATTCCTTTATAATGTGAGTAATTTCACCCTCTGATTTTCCAGCAGTAAGATGTTATGATACTATTAATAAGTAGTTATGAAAATTTGAAAAGCCAGGAGAAGGTCCATGAGGGTGCAAGTCTGTGGCAAGATTTTTTTCCTCCACTGGTAATCACACTTTTGCCCCCACCCCAAGTCAGTTTTTTTGAGGAGGGCATTAAGAAACCCTGTCTGCAAGTAACTACTGAATGCATTGGAAATACTGGGGTGGAAAAGGGAGCTACTATCCCTGCCTTCATGGAATGTATAGGTCGGTGAAAGACTTACTACTAAATAAATATTCATTTACAATCACGATAGGTGCCAGCCAAGAAAAAGAGGAATGAACAGCACCATCCCACCTAGTGAGGGAAGGTTGTGGGTAAAGGGGGAAGGATCCTTCAGGGATTTCCTGAAAATGTGACATTTACACTAAGACTTGAAAGATAAATAAGAGTTAGCTAGGTGAAAAGTGTGAGGGAAAAGTGTTACAAGACTTAAGACTAGGAAAGCAAAAACTGTATAAAAAAATTAAGATAATCACAATTTATTACATGACTTGACTATTAATACTATTTACATAGTCATTACAATAATGTTAATAATATTCATGAGTATTCACCTAATCAACATAATTTATTGGGAGGCTAGAGGAATGAGGAGGATCTATATGTGTGGTAAGAACAAAGAAGATCAAAAAGAGCAAAATCCTCACCTTTCATCTGGGAAGTCAACACAATGCAAAGGAGAAAAAAAGGAAAAATCAGAAGTGACAGTGTAATCATGTTAATTTAAAAATATAGAAATACTGAAAGAATCAGAACAAAGAGTTGAATGTAGTGCTTCCTGGGTGGGGTAAATGTTTCTTTTAAACATTTGCCTGTTTTCAACGTACTTATCACTAGTTAACTTCAGCTGAAGTAGAATTTCCACTAGTCATAAGATCTTTGAAGCAATGGTTTTGGTATTTGTATGCTGTTTTGTTCCCTGGCACCTAGGACAATGACATACTAGATGCTCAGTAAATACTTGCTGAATGGATAATGCACACTTTCCATCAGTCTCCTAAATCTTCTCTCTAGATATTTAGACATATCAGATATTCTTTTTTTAAATATATATATTTTTACTGAAGTATAGTCAGTTTACAATGTTGTGTCAATTTCTGGTATACAGCACAATGCTTCAGTCATACATGAACATACATATGTTCATTTTCATATTCTTTTTCATCATAAGTTACTATAAGAGATTGAATATAGTTCCCTGTGCTATACAGTATAAACTCGTTTATCTATTTTATATATAGTAGTTAGTATCTGCAAATCTCAAACTCCCAATTATCCCTTCCCACCCCTTTCTCCCCCTGGTAACCATAAGTTTGTTTTCTATGTCTGTGAGTCTGTTTGTTTTGTAAATAAGTTTGGTTTTTTTTTCCAGATTCCACATGTAAGTGATATCATATGGTATTTTTCTTTCTGGCTCACTTCACTTAGAATGACATTCTCCTGGTT